CCCCGCCGCGCCGCCGCCCTCCAGGCGCCGCCCCAAGCACATGCTTGGTGGGCTGGTGCCTGGAGCCGGCCCTGGTTTTGGATGACAATAGAATACAGAGGACCAAATTAGAGGTTTGCTTGGGCCTAAATTTTAGGCCCTGAACCAAACCCAAGCCTAATCGACCCTGCCCCTCAAATCTCAATCACCACTGCTGACTTTTAGCCCTGGGGTTGGTGTGGTGGCAGCTGCATTCATCAGCCCTGCTGTGTGCTGGCTACAGAGTGAGAGGCTCTGCCACTCCTGCACACTCACTCCACAGCACACGCAGTGCATGCACAGGGAGGTGGAGGTGGCCAGCAGGAGCGAGGAGGAGACTAGCTGAACTGAGCAGGTGGGTTTGTTTTCCAACCAGATCTGGATCCGACATGTCTCCCATTGAGTTTGGCTCGGGTTACAGGGTTCTAAGCCAAATTCTGCCTTCGGTTACTTTACATACTGTCTGTATCCTAATTGGAATCAGAGGCATTAAAGTGTGTGTGTGTGGTGGGGAGGGGGGGGGAATAAAAAAATGTTTGGAATTTGTCCAGTTTTCCTTCTAGGGCAGTGGTCTCCAAAGTGGGGTGTGCAAGAGGATCCTTCAGGGTGTGCAGGAGCAACGCTGCTTCTCCCCCCCCTTTGGCAGTTCAGCCGGGAGTCCGAGCGGCTTTTTTTTTTTTTGCTTTGATAGTTTGGCTGGGAGCAGGGGGTGCGTACTCAAGTTTTTTTACTGATGGGGTACACGATCAAAAAAGTTTGGAGACCACTGTTCTAGGGTACTGAAAATTAAAAACAAAACCTCAGAGTTAGAGGGTACTGTGCCATCAAACTAGCAGAATTTTTCAGTGAATAAGCTATTGCGGGTTTTATAAAATGTTACTTCCCATCTTTAAAAAAAAAAAAATGTATCATGTCAGGTGTCTCATTAACATGGTTTTACACCGCTTTCCAAATGATAACTTAAATATATTAGACAAGCTATGTTTCTCTCTCATTTGGAGGTATTCATCTTATTGATTATCTTGGGGACCTGCTTGACTTGACACCTTGCCTAAGTCGCAAAGATATAAATTGTGAAAAATGCCTTTTCACTCTGTCCTCCCAGGTGAGGGTCTGGCCACAGAGATCCATCCAGGCTAACGTAACTCACTGTATCTGAAGATAGCAACGGTGCAGAGACACCAGCCTGGATAAAATACTGTAGTGTTTGCATTGTTAGTGGGCCAGACTGCCATGAGTACATCACCTCTCTGCCTGTGCTACCTCTGCTAACTCCTCATCTGCTTCCATTACCAATTCGAGGCCTTGGGTTTGATCTTTCTTGCTGTCAATGGTTCAAGGTCCAGGTTCTCTGTCCAAGACTTCCTTAACGACTGGAAAAAATGTAGCTCAGAAAGCTCAGGGCAAAGCAAGCATGTCACAACCAGATACAAATCATTTGCAAAGAGAGGGGTTCAGTTGTGGAGCAAGCTTCACAGAAGACCAGAAGAGGTCAGGCTAATCCAGAGTTTGACTGCTTTTAGCACACACTGCAAAGCCTCTTTAACAAGATCTTCCACCATGCCATATTTAGGGGTGAGAGGTGAAAGGGGAAAAACCACACACAAATGTCTATCCCAAAACAGAGCTGACTACCAGGCAGGGCGAAGAACAGAAGTCTCAGTCTACTAGGAACCTTGCCATGAAGACCTGACGTACCTGGGAAGTACTTAGATATTACAGTGATAGATGCTGTGGAAAACTAAGGCAGATAGAGGCTGGGTCCAGTTGGAAAGGTGGATTTCCACCTTCATTGATTTCCAGTGCGGGAAACTTATTTCTTGACTTATGGAACTGTGAAATATCAGACTTTAAAGATATGATGCCTTTACAGCTAAAAAAAAGTTTTCATTGGGCTAGGGTAATATTTTGGAGAGGGGGAGGAAACATGCAATAACTTTTTTAAAATAGGGGTGACTGTTTGAAGCTGCTCATTGGTTTGGAATATTACAATAAATCCTTAGGAACTGGATTAGTGGGACGACAATCTAATGATAATTGATGATAAACTGTATAGGATATCTTTTGTAAATACCAGAGGAAGCAAAGTTGCACCTGTTAGAAGATACTCAAAGCCCAGCTCTGACATCATCTAGAACTTTCACAAGAGAAGAAAAGTGGTCAGTCAGTTAAATACTTTTAGCTCCAGACACCATCATTTATCTTCTTGCCATAGTAAGTCAGAATTTCCAGCCGATATGAACTTTCCAACAGGATTGCAATGGGGAGAGCTAGGTGGGTATATTGTCTTTCCCTTGTAAGAGACCAATCCTTATGACATAGTGAAAAAGTAAACAGAAGGTCATTTTTATTTATGTAATTATTAGGAATACATTAATACTAAACATATATAGTTCAGTTTCAAACTCCAGTTAAGTATGTTATGGAAGACAAAGGTTATATAATTTTTGTGTTATGCCAGTCTTTAATTGCTATGGGTAACAATTAATGCTGCTGTTACTGTTCTTGCAGATAGTTAGCATGTATATTTTGTTTGATTTTTAGCTTCTACGAGGACCTTTTGGCCCATGGTGTGTTGAAGCCATTGACTGCCCCTGTGGAAGGAATGGTGATGGAAGAAGGATCTCACAATTTTGTGACACCTCAGGGAATCTCTTCAATTGTCAAGCATTATTTAACAGAGTCAGGTAGTCTTTAGACATCTTTTGCAATTAACAACTCTTTGATAATGATCCTTACTTTGATCAACAAGGAGTGGCTCAAGCTCCCACCCACCTCTTGAAACTACTGTCACTTGAAAGCGATAGGAAATTTTCCTTTGTAGCCAGGCTCAGTATACCCTCTAGAAAAGGGACTGAATGCAGTGACACTGCACTGCTCCCATGCCTTTTGGCCAAGGAAGTTTGGTAGCTGAGCGTAGGATTTGTTCATGTGAGACCTCGCATGATGGATTAGAAAGCATGCCTCAGAGATGGACTCCAGGAACTCAATCTGTTTAGCTTAACTGAGTGAAGATTAAGGGGTGACTTGATCAGTATAAGGACCTACATGGGGGACAAGTATTTGTCAATGGGTTATTTATAACAAGAGCCAGCAGCTAGAAGTTGAAGCTAGACAAATTCAGATGGGAAACAAAGTAGCGAAGGTAACTAACCATTGGAACAGTGTCCAAGGTTTTGGTGGATTCTCTTATCACTGATCCAATTTTGACTTCAAAATTGCATGTTTTTTCTAAAAGATATGGTCTAGTTCAAACAGGGCTTATTTGGAGGGAGTTCTGTGGCCTGGGTTATGCAGACTAGATTATCACAGTTGTCCCTTCTGGCCTTAGAATCTATAAATCTGTCATGGAACACTATCATTTTGAATTGATATGGCTTGATACAGTCTATTTAAAGCTGAAAAAGAATCTAGTCTTTTTCATAAAAATGTTTCATGCTGACATCTTGAAGTTGTTTAAATGGGTAACATGTCTAATTTGCAAAAACGTAAAAACCAAGGTCCTAGTCTTCTAAGCATTTGCTCACAAATAACTTCAGCTGAGTGAGCAATCCTGTTAACGTCAATGGGACTGCTGGCATGTGTATATTTATGCATATATTTAGGTGTTTGCAGGATCAGAGGCCAAAGTTATATTTGCACTCTCTGCTTTATAGACCAGATCCTTTAGGATAATGATAATTTTGCCATTTAATTCTGCAGGACTAGGATCATACCTTGAGTGAATAGAGGTTTGGGGGAAATTTGAGTCACATAAATCTTGACTAACTGCATCTGACCAGAATTTGGCATTTTTAAACTAATATATAGTATTGGTTTAAACAGTGTTCATTTGATGATCCATCAACTGACTGGGAAGCATGGTGCTGAAAAGAAAGATTTATTAACCGTTACACAACATGTTCCTGTGATATAAAGCTGTACTATATTTAGAATTGTTTACAAAAGACTAAGGAGCAGATAACCAAGTGACAGATCAATGCTGCTATGACAGTTTCTGTTCTTCTTTGAAAAGCAGTGGAATTTGAGTGTTTTGTTACAGTATTTAGTGTTTATTCTACCTCTCCATGTTGAGATAGTTATTAATATTAACAACACTTTTGTATTTTTTCAACTGTTGATGTTGCAAATCTATTCTTGTGATTATAATTCATTAAGTCTTTATGCCCCAGTCCTGCTAACACTTAGGCATGTATTTTAATCATGTGAGTAGTTCCACTGATGGAAATGGGACAGATTAGGTGCTTAAAGTTAAGCACATGCTTAACATGTTTGCAGGATCAGGACCTTAGTTTTGATTACTAATGGAAGTTATTCTGATATTATGCATGTTCTCTACTGTCTGATACAGAATTGTATGTATTAAACTATTCTTTTTTGAAGCAGGTGCAGATGTCTTCTATGAACACCATGTAACACAGATCTACCTCAGAGGGGGGAAATGGGAGGTCTGCAAGAAAACAGGATCCCCAGAACAGTTTGACATAGTTGTTCTCACAATACCTGTTCCACAGATTCTTCAACTTCAAGGTGACATTGTGAACAGTAAGTCTTCCTTCAATAAGTATTTAACACAGAATAATAATTTATAGTATGCTATAGCAAAGAACCTCTGAGTTTGTGACCAGTTCTCATTTGCAGAAAGGAGGAAATATTTTGTGGATGCTGTAAATCAAGTAGGTGTGCATTGTCCAATAAACATAAGATATTACTTGTATAAAACAATCTGAACTGAAATCCAATTTTCAGAAGAGAAAAATCTGTTTTTTATGGAAAATGAGAATTCTGATCTGTAATTTTTATATTCATAGTAAAAACAGGGCCAGATCTGTAATAACTAGAATTTTTTGTTTGGCCTGGGGGGGAAGGGGAGATTATTAGATCCCAAAATATAAATAGTCCCTCAGCAGTCCCTCAAGTGGCTGTTTACTGGCTTACTGCCTCCTTCAAGGCCTCTGGTTACAAGAGTAAATGAGCAGGCCTTCTAACTAATTGAGAAGCTTGTTGGGGAGAGCAATGAATACAATTTTAGTAACATCTGCAGTTTCAGGAAAAATTTATGCTGCAATTAAACAACTGCAGATGGCCCATGTCAGCTGACTCAGGCTACGGCTATAGGGCTGTTTCATTGCAGGGTAGACATTCAGGTTCTGGGATCCTGCAAGCCCAAGACAGCTGACACCGGCTAGCCGTGGATGTTTAATTGCAGTGAAGACATACCCTCAGAGACTTGAAATCACAACCAATGGTGGCCTATTGATTGACCAGGACTAGCCACTGAGTCCTCAGTTGACTCCCTGTTCACTATTCTATGCTGATCTTTAATGTACATAGATGATGAGGACCAGGCTACCTTAGAGTCTCCCTCTCCTTTCACTGCCTACAGAACAGTGAATATCAGAGACATAAGCTACCTGTCTCCAGGGTCAAACAGTAGGAGCAAAGGGTGCAGTTACTGTTAGGCTGTGGAATACAGCAGGGCAGAAATTTTTGGCAAATAGTAAATTTCCTGGGGGGCAGGAACCTTTTGCTGGTTTCATGTGTTGAATTCAATGAATAGCTTTGGCTGGAAAAAAAAAAAACTGAAAACAAGAATTTCAGAAATGTTGAAACTGATCATTTAAAAACATGCATTTCTAAATGAGAAAGTCAAATCAATTCAACATTTGCAAAACCCCCAAAACCTGTTTCAGTAAGTAAACAGAACAACAACAACAACAAAAAAGTCAGTTTAGGTTTGAAGCCAACAACTATTTTTTGGTTTGGCCACCAAACCGAAATAAATCAACTATTTGCTCAGCTCTACTGTGGAATACCCTGTCAGAGAATATTAGCATGAGCTCTAGTCTGACTGTTTTCATAGTCCTACATAAAGCTTATCCACAATAACAGAAGCTAATGAACAAAGAGGAGAGGAATATAAGGAAAGAGTGAAGGACAAAATCTCAAGTATAAGCAGCATGTCTAGAATAACAAAAGTAGAGTCGTTGTCTGATGACTGGAGGTAAAGGAAAAGATTTTCATTCCAGTCTAATTCCAAGTGCCATTCCTTTGCTATGGGACGAATAGTGCCTTAGTGACTATGGAAGAGTCTACTCACCATAAGAGTGTCCCTCGTAGCCAGGTGACATAAAAGCCTCTTCTTTGGTACCCCCTGCCAACAGCCACTCCAATACTGTAACAGAATGCCTCTTCCTTTGACTTGGCACTCCAGGCAGGTCACTTTTAATCCTAGCCCTTCTAGAGTAAACCAAGTCCAACACACCAATAGTCTGGCTGCATTGAACCAGAACTTTAGCACATTTTGGGATTTGTGGGCCATACAGCCCTTGGCTCCAGCAACTTCACACCACACCGTAGGGTGTGTCATTAGGGAACTCAGGCCCACCGTCTACTTTGGGTTCCAGCTCAGGGATCCTGTATGAAGCAAATAAGGTCTGTTTGCTCAGATCCTCTGCTGTATCCCTGGTCTGCTTTTTACTAGTCCTGTCTCATTAGTCTCTTCTTCAGATCCCCAAAAAGGGGAACCAAACTAGTTATGATGTTCAAAAGGTCCAAGACCAGGCCTAGCTGCCCCGAAGAGGCATTGATCTTAGTCAGGCCTTCCTTCACAAGCCTAACTCAAGAAGTGCATTCCCTCTGCCAGTCACATTTTACTGAGCTGAGCCTTTCCTCTTTATCTCCTTCCTCCAGGCTTGATGCCTTACACAGGTGTAATGGGGTGGGGCTGATTGGGCTCACAGGCTCTCATTATTAACCCTTTTTGGTCAGTGTGAGGTCTGTGTACCCCATCTTAGTGCCCTTCTCTGCCATTCATGACTTTATATACTTTCTCATAATTCCTCTTACCATACATAATTCCCATTTACCATACTAAATAATCCCATTCTCCTTAACTCTCCTTATTTGGAAGAGATCACTTCTTATTGTTAACATAAACAACATCATACTTCTAATAATTTTTGTAGCCCACCTGTAGATCTCTTGTTTTATTAAATACAGTTGTTTTGTTTGAATATTTAGGTTTGAATGTGGTTTTTTTTAATACAAAGGTATACTGATGGTAGTTAAAACAACAACAAAAAACCTGGCTAAGACTAATCACTAACCTAACCATGGACTTTAGGAGTTTACTGAAAAGAGTACAGTGATATTTTAATAATTTGGAGTAGATCAGTGAGAGGAAGAAGGACTTTGTCTATATAATAATATCACTATAGAGAAATACAATAAAGTGACTCTTTGACTAGAGAGAAAGGAAAGGTGAGAGATCAAAAATTTGGAGTAAATTGGTTGGGAGGCCAAAATTCCCAAGAGAATGCTCCATGTCATGGTATTTTCTGCGTAATTAAGAAGAAAGAGTTGTGGAAAGTGTGTGTGAAGATTGTCAGTCATCTGTAGTGGATGAACTGATATATGGCCAAAAACAGTTCTGCTGTCAAACTGCTGGCTGTATTTGGAAACAGTGTTTTCACAATAAGTCAAGTTATTTTTTTTTTAACTGAAGGAATATCTCAGGTGGAGAGAAAAATAAGGGGAGCAGAAAGGGTGTGTAAGATAAACATGAACATCGCTAGTATATATTTATCAGGACTAGGCATGCAATCCAATACTGGTTTAACATTGGGTTTGAAGAGTGCTGGGTGATGAACCAGGGTTCATGGGCATTAAGTAGCATATAAGTGATAACTGCTATCTACTGGTTATAGTTGAAATGGTTTTTCAAAGTAAATTGAGCTGGTGTTCAATTTTACATGGACAGAATATCTGGTAAAAGAATATAAAAATAAAGAATCAAAGTCCATTTTCTGTACTAACACACAAGTCGTTTATGTAGACTCGTCTAACTGGATAGGACACTATACTCATATCTCTTAGTTGGATGAGTTGTAAATGTCCAATTCACAGTTTTTTGAGTATAAGTGAATGTGTGTTTGGGGTGGTTTCAACAATATGTTTAGTGACCTCAGCGTGACCTTGGTTTTCTGTCTAATCAGCAGAAGAAGGCACTTTGTACTTGTCCTTGCAGCAATTAGTTGAGCCAAACCAATGTCAGGGCAGCTATGGCTGCACCAAATCTGCCTGAGTAGCCGAAGAAAAGTAAAATCTAGCACCATCAACTGAAGCTGTCAGCTGGTTTGCTCTTGCAATGCTTATACTGCAGCAGCAGCAAATGTGCAGCTATAGGTGTCCTTGAGAGAGGCAGAAGTGAATGGAGGCCCACCTCACTCAAGGTTAGCAGTCTCTTTTGAGGCCACCTACTGGTTCACCGGCCATAACAATTAGTTTAGCTGTGGTGGTATGTGTGGCGGCATTGTGCTGAATTACCCATTTTTCCCTGCACAACTGTACGAATGAGGTGGGTTTTTTTGTTTTTGTTTTTTGGGGTGGGATGGGGTAGCAAGAGACATTATTTTGTCTTTGTCATTGAAGTGTAGTATCTGTTTATGTTTAAAAAAGAAGAGAAAAAAATCTGAAAAAAACATATCAGTGTTCATAAAGCATATCAGATAGACACCGTAGGACACTGAAGATCCCTATTTATGTATAAAGCCATGCACCTCAACCCTATTTTGAAAGGATTACCATCTCTAGGTTTGGAAAGTGATCACTAACCAGGAACACAATTTTGTCAGGCCTTGAAAAGTGGAATCTACTTTACCTTAGCAGACCATTTCACTTGCTCCTAAAGTATTGAGACTTCTGTCTGGCTGAGCTTCAGGTGGTTTTTTGTTGTTCTTATCATTGGTCTCTAAAGCCAGGACTACATTAGGATGTCTTCTGGCACAGCAAGGTGTAGGGTGTGACAGGGTGTGATCCCTGACTGACATAGCTGTGGTGGAAGAAGCCTAAAGTACAGCTTCACCTGTACCAGCAAAGCTGTGCTTTTATGGGTATAACTTGTTCCACTTGTGGGGGGTGGTTTTGCTATACTTGAACAAAACAGCTTTGCCAGAATAGCTGCGTCCATAGTAGGAGTGCTGTTCTGGTATTGCACTGCACTCCGATTCTAATGCACTCCTAGTGTACACATGGCTTAATCCTCTTTATCTTTGCAGGATTAACTTTATTAGAGAGAACTCTGTAAGGGGTTTTGTCTTCCCCTTTTCCTTGCTCCTTTTTAGAGCTCTGTGTTGACTTACAAGTTAAACTTGTTTCATTGCCCATCTAACCCAGTGTTAAGCCAATAGGTAATTCCTCACTAATAGCTAATTTAAACCAACATTGCTCATTTCCTATCTCATGTATTCTCCTAGGACTTGTAACATTCATATTCTTCATTGTTCTACTGTTAGTCTTTCTAGTGTTTTATATACAGATGGGTGAAGAGACTGTATAGGGATGCTGAATCTAAGGGAAATTTTCAAAGGCACAAATGGGGGGTAGGTTCGCAACTCCCATTGACTTACAATGGGAGTTGGGCATCTGAAAGCATTTTGTGCCTTTGACGGTAAACCTCTTAATCAGTTGTGTGACTGGAAGTTCCAATTGGATTTTAAATTATGGGTGTGTCTGGTGACTTCATCGTCAAGGTTGTGTTGTATTTAAAACAGGACTAAAATCCCTAATTCACACTTCTCTGAACTTAGTCTCCACATTTGGTTCAATAATTCTTAATAGTACAAATGAATTTTCCAGTATGTTTTGTTTTTTTCAACAATCAATACACCTCTGCCCCGATATAACACTGTCCTCGGGAGCCAAAAAATCTTGCCGCATTATAGGTGAAACCACATTATATTGAACTTGCTTTGATCTGCTGGAGCGCACAGCCCCGCCCCCCCCGGAACGCTGCTTTACTGCATTATATCTGAATTTGTGTTATATCGGGTCGCGTTACATCGGGGTAGAGGTGTATTTATTATTTCTAGTAACGCAGTGCCTAGGAGCTCTGGTCCAGGATCAGTACCCCATTGTGCTAAGTGATGTACAAACAGAACAAAAGACAGTCGCTGCCCCAAAGACATTGCAGTCTAAGTATCTGTTATTAGAACTGAGATTGCATGTTTTGCACAGAGTGGGGGCATGTGTGTGTCACCAGTGGTTGTGGAAGAGGTAACAGAGGAAGTGAAATCATAGTTGTGAATTGCAAGAGAAGAGCTTAGGATGAACCTAGTGTGTTGCTGAGATATTTAGGGCTATGCTGGTGGTGTATGTACCCAAGTATTAACTGGTTTCAGTGAGGCTTTTTGTTTTAGTAGATTTAAGTTGTATAATTGTATAAGTGCGAGGCAGGATGTTTTGAAGAAAAGGAATGGTTTAGAACTAAGGCTTGAGATGCCCTTAGTTTAATTGCTCACATCTCAGGACTTTGATACACCACAAGTCAGAAAATGAAGCAAAGAGACAAAGAGAAGGCTCAGTGGCATTGTAACGTTGTTACCATGATAAATATAGAACTACTTAAAGAAGAAATGTGTGATAACTGCAATGAGGGAAGGGGAGGTGTGGCATTAAAGGGAAATAAATTACCTGTCCTCAAATCCACAGAGAGCCCTAATCATGCTGTTAGCCCCCACATTCAGCAATACATTCCTTTGCCTTCTGATGTATCATCATCCATCTTTTGACAAACTCTTAATGAAATTAAAATATATAGGCTCTAGACTGACTGCCCAGCTGCTGGCCTTTCACCAGGTGTAGTGTTCTCCCTCTCTGCTGTCACTCTGGCCTAGAGGTCCTCAGTTAGGTCCTCCCTGCACTGTGCTAGCAATGGTTTTCCTTTCTTGGCCAGAATGAACCAGGATTTTGTTCTGAAAACCTTTGCTCACAAACAGTGAGGCTCTAGCATTGCTGCAAGAATTCCTATCCATGCCAACTGTGTAAATTATGCTAGACCCAACTGTGTTTAAACATGTTTGTGGCTATCACCCTACTGAATGGCTTTTGATAAGATATTGTTTGTACAAACCTGTAGGTGAGGATTGTGAAATGAAAGTGGTGCTAGAGACCTTGGAGGTTTAGATCTGTTAGTGTGTGCCAGTGTTTACATCAAAAGTTAAGAAGCTATTAAAGTGTTCATTGATCTTGAAGGCAGCAAATTGCTAATCAGATGTATCTGACAAGTCATTCCTTTCAGCACTAATCTGACTTGTTCCTTCTGTCTCCTTTAATATGGAAATTCTCTGTTCTTACTGTACTTTTTCCCCAGCTTAGAATAGCTAACTGCCTGAATATTGTACTTTAATTCCTTATTCCATATTATTTCTGACTGAAAACCACTAAACATATACACCTCTATCTCGATATAACTTGAACTGATATAACGTGGTAAAGCAGTGCTCTGGGAGGGCGGGGCTGCGCACTCCAGTGGATCAAAGCAAGTTCAATATAACGCGGTTTTCAACATTTTCACAGTTGTTTGTTTCTCTCAGGCTCCAACATCTATGTTTAGGTACCTGAATAAAAGTGGCCAGATTTTATTCAACATGACTAACACCTGCTGCTCCCAGTAACTTTGTTAGGGTTTGTGGATGCTCAGGACTTCTGTTAATCAGCCTTAATTTAAGTGCCTAAATATCAATTAAGAAGCCTAACTTTAGGCTTTGAAATGTTGACCTGTTTCCTTAGAGATAATTTTAGAGTTTAATTTGCAAGTTTGACAGATTAATAAAATCAGGCTTATCAATTAGAAAAGGGCCAGGAACTTCTCTTTTATGGGCTGACCCATTTGTTTATTTCCCCTCTCCCCTCCCACCCCAACAGAAGTGAGGTGTCTGTCAGTTGGCCAGCTTGAAGCTCTTTGTTTTAAAACAATGTACATTTACTTACCAAATTTTCAGATTAAAACATCAGACTATACAACAGTGAGAGACATTTGAAAAAAAAAAAGTTTAATTTGCCTGGGCAAAGGTTTTCATCTGAAAAACTTAAAGTTTAACAAAGTGAACTAATGAACCACGCTAAAGAGCTGTAAGACCTCTATTACACTGGCACGTATTCTCTCTTTCTGGCCTCTGCCCTCTCAGTTGATATTTAATAACAATTCCAGGGATAGACTAAAGTGAGAATTTAGACCCCTTTGTGTGCATTTGGGGGGGGGCATGCAAAGGAAGGAGATGGCCATAAATTAGCTGCTTCTTGGCTTCCATTCCAGAACTATTATTTGTGATGGTTGGTGTTACGGCTGTCTGCTCCAGAGTTGCTCCTCTTTTGGGGCCTGCTTCAAAGGTCATTCTAGACAATTAGCACTATTTCTATTTAGCTGTGTCCTTTGAGTGAGGCATTTTGTCATCTTTTCTTCCTTGAAGAGTCCAGAAGGAGAGGGTACGGAAGGGTATGTAACTGAACTTCTGTACTTGTTTTGTTGTAGTAGCTGAGGGAAAAAAGGAATAATCAACACTAATGGATCCCATAAGATGTTGATCTCTATTATATTTTTAATAGTGTGAATGGAAAAGAAGTTCTTATGTAACCAATTATATTGATTTCTCTTGAAATTATCCTTCAGTGTCTTTGCTTTAGCTGGTATTCACAAATAAATTCTATGAATACAGTGTTTCCTTTCAGATAGAGTGGAGTTACCAAAACAGTGACTAAAAATAGACTCATTTTTCTCGTTGAAAAGCCTTTGGCAGTTGAAGAGTTAGAAGCTTTCTGAACCTGGAAGTATTCTGAATTCAGTACCAGAATTGTCTTGTGGCACATTAGGAAATTCTGTTTAGTTTGTTGCAACATCTTTAAAAGAACAGTAGGTGGCAGTGGTTAAATCTTTGTGACAGCTAAATCTGTAGGCCTAAACAATTTCAAGTAGGTTTGTGCATAGATTTTAACTGTAGCCTGTGATTGTATTTGGGCTTTGTATCTTTCATTAGCAATTCCTGAAATTCTGCAGAACAGTATAAGGAAAATAATTGGCACTTTTCTGATTTTTACAAGGTCTCTCATAAGTGCAGAAAAATAAAAATAAAAATCAACAGGAATTGTAAATTAAAGGATTCAACTCTACAAAACATACATTATTTAATGAATATTTTAGAGATGCTAAGCAGCTGGAATCACTATTGAAATCAATATTTTTTGAAGAATTATAGATATGAGTATACATTTGTGAGTGGGATTATCAAGCAACTACTCTTATTTTTTGTATTTACAAATTTGATAAGCTTTTGTCTTTCAAGTCTGTTTTAGAGAATAAGCAATTTTTACATTGTAAATCTGAAACATTTAGTAAATGATTAATGCAACAAATTAGGGTAAGTTTCATTTGTTAAAATATTAAAGGAGTCATTTTGCTCCAAGGCAGAAGTTACACTTTTGAATTGAGTAATCTATTTTTTTATTTTTATTTCCCCTTACATATTGATTTTTCACATGCTATATGAATATAATTAGTATAATTCAGCAAGGAGACATGGCAATATAAATCATAAGAGCAAAGGTCATGTCTTTTCACCAGTCCCCAAGTCTGTCTAACATTATTGCATAATATTTTTATAGAAAAATAGAATGTTTATATTTGATCATATTCCAGGAAGGCACAGCAGGGCTTGTCCAAACTTAAATTAAGAATCAGGTTCACTCACATTACATAACATGACTGAAGTGTACTGTAGGCAGGGACAATACTGTAGTTTCAGCTGTTTGTCAAGCACTGAGTGTTATGATATAATACCATTTGTGCTTTTTTAAAACTACATGCAAACATTTAAAGGTTATTAGCTTTAATGTGACAAATTTGATATCAATATGGCATTTTCAAAACATGAAATGTAAATGAATATTTCAGATAGAAGCATTCTGATAATAAATGTTTGATGTTTTGAGAATAAGCCACTTGAACTGATGTCACCAGAACCACATTTAGACTCTAATAGGGGTGACAAACATTCAGAGAGGGCCAAATTCCAATTTTAAGTGTGGTTGGTAGGCCAGGGTATAAATATAGATCTCTCAATTCAGAGCAAGACCCCTAGTGATGCCAAAGGGAGTGTTGCATGAAGATCAGGATTAACAGAATGTGTCTCTTGGTAATAATTAAAAGGTTAGTTATATTTTTTATTATCTGCTGAGTACCTAATTGTCATATTCAGCATTGCTCAGTGGGATAACAGGCTTTTCTTTAGGAACACTGATATTTCTGCCCTTTGTTTCTTTTACTTCCCATCCTTCTTTCTCTGTTTCTCTCCCTCTCCTTTTCTTTGTGTGTCACCTTTGTTCTTCCCTCTGCATTTCCTTTGCTGTAGCAACTCCTAATTTCCACCCTCTTCCCTGTTCTATTTGCTAAGATAGTCAGCAGTGAAGTACTTAATGTTGACATTTAGATGAATTTTAAAACTGACTTGCAGATTAGGTTAAGAGGGGGCAGTGGAGTTCACAACTCAGAGTAGTTGTTTCAGGCTCTCTGGGAGGGGTTTACCTTTGTTTCACATTTAGTTTTCTTCACCACCATGAGAGCTAGAAAGTTACTGCTTGTTGTGTTTAATAACTTAAATTCTGAACATTTGGAACATAATCATACAGGACACATACATCCAACAAGTAGGATGTATTTGGCTGGCAGACTGTTTGACCCTTCTGGATTTTTTTTTTTTAAATGTCTGCTTACCTAGTATGCTTATTTTGGACCTGCTCCTATAGCTATTAATTAAGCACGTGAGAAGTCCTGTCAAAGTCATATGAGTAGTCACATTGACTTCAATGGGACTTTTCATATGAGTAAGGGCTAGAGGATCAAGCCAGCTGTGGGAGTGTATGTGTATACAAAATATCAGGAGAATTAAAACAGGATACATGCAGGAAATTGGGTCCAGTTTGTATTTAGACCTAATATCAAATACTGCCTACCCTTGTCAGCTGAAAAACGGAGTCCCTGTCCTGATAGTTCAGAGTTTTTAGCCAGACTGAAACATTACAAGTAAAACACAAAGCTGGAAAATATAATAGTGTCTCACATGTACATATTTGGCTATATGGAGAAGTACAAGACTAGAGGCTTATTTGTGGGGGTTTCAAAGGGATCGATTCTCTCTCTGGTCCTTTTCAGCATCTACATACAACCACTAGCTGAACTGGTCAACCAAGACGGAGTCAAGTGCCACACAGAGCTCTACCTGTCCTTCATTACCTACAGACCACACCACTCCCACCCAGATGGCCCAGTGTTTGGATGAGATCAGATCATGGATGAAATACAGCTGGCTAAATCTGAGGAAACCCAAGGTGATGTTGGTGGGCAGAGGAAAGTATTTTGAGCTGTTTGCAGCCATGGTGCAGTCTCCTTTGCTTGAAGGTTCATGTCCACCATTAGCTAATTCAATCCATACTCTTGGATTCCTCCCTCTAGGAGTACTTCTGGATTCCTCACTGATGCTGAGCTCTCACATTGCAATGGCCACAAGTAATGCTTTCTGCCATCTCCGGTTGACTAGAAGACTTCATCCCATCCTGTTGGACGAAGACCTGTCCCCAGTTATTCATGCCTTCATCATCTCTCAGCTGGATTGTTGCAATGCCATATACTTGAGCAAGAAATTTTCTGCATTCAGGTATCTCTACCTAGCATAAAATGCTGCAGCAGCACATCTCCTGAGCAACACAGGCTGCTGTGACCACATCACATCTATCCTCTGCTGTCTACACTGGCCTCCCATACAATTTTGAACTAAGTTGAAGATAACGACTATCTTGAAAGCACTCTGGGACCTGGGTCCAGGATACCCAAAAGACCATCTAAAGCGCCAGGACAAAGACTGTGGTTAACAACTAAGCTCCTTTGGCATGAAGGAACTCTCAATGATAGGAGTGAAGTTCATCAGTGCAGGAGACAGAACCTTCTCCAGGTGTGGTCCGAGACTGTGGAATGAACTCCCCCAGGAACGATAGACCATCACAAACCTCATCACTTGCCACCCCAAGTGCAAGGCATATTTCTTTCATTTGCCTTTTCTAACAGAAGTACACAACAATATATTTAATAATAATACATAATAAACTACCAAAACAAGTCCACACAGATTTTTGTACCAGTTTAACTAAATCAGTTTAAAAATCACATCTGGCATTAACATGGTGCAACTTTTCTGTTTAGACAAGCACATCTTGCTTGGGGCCATTTTGGCAACCCAGAATTGCTGAAGCATAGACATGCTCCAGCCACACTCTACATTAAGTGCTGTGAAGGTTGGTGGAACAGAGTTTCTCCATGACCTGGGGATGCCCTTGATGCAGGATAACTCCCAGCTGGCCAGATCCATCTGTTTTTAAAGCCCCTTTGTGCTGTTGGAGTAGCAAAAAGGGGCCCTGTCAGAACAGAGACTGTGTTCAGGCCTGCTAAGCTTGGGTTCCATTTTTTCAGGTGATGTAGAAGATGATTTATTGGCAGACAATATCTGTATTCAAATATAGTATTTAAACATAGAAATATTAGCCTCAGTAGAGCAAAGCATACCAAATAAATGCTTTCAATTTTGCTCATCTCACTACTAAACAGATACATTTCCATTATCCCAGCAGTCGGTTCCCCCTTTCCCTTCCAAAAACAAACAATCTTTCTATACATCAGGTTTTGATTGATGGAGATGGGCCTTAGAGGCTTAACATTGGATTTAACATGTGTACCTTCCCAAAAAACGTAAAGCTGAATAATTCTGAAATTTGCTCCCTCTTGGGACAAATGTTTAGTGAGCAATATGCTTTCCATATAGCCTAGAAGGCTTGGAAGCAGTGATGGGTCTTTGTTTTACAGTAACTTCTAGATCATGGTGCTAAACTTGACCTTTCAGCCTCTGGATGCAGAAGTACCTTAATGTCTGACCTCAGAAATACCAATAATCTACATTTTAGCCTCCTTCCTACACCCCGTCCCCCATTGATAAAATTTGTCTTTACTAATTTTATATTATACCTTTTTGCTGAAGAATTGTAAAACTTCCTTGAAAAATGTTTTTCCCCACACAACTGAAGTATGTGCAGTTGACCATAGGATGAGTTGTGGGATTTTTTTTATGTTGTGTTTTTTTAGACTTAGGCTGAAATAAAATGTAAGCTTAACTACATTCCTATGGTGAAATCACATTAATTCTATTGCTTTTAAAAGGATAGATTTGAAAACTTGCTTTAAAATTCTGATTCAGATTCACAAACACTGATCAAATTACTTTTAAAGATTTTACCAGCAATATCAGACAAGGGTCAAACATTTTATTTTATATGGCATGTATATGTTAAACTGGACCTTTAACTCAAACAGTTCTTGGTTAAAATTTTATATCCATCATTAAAAAGAAGTTAACTATACACAATGCTGTAACTGAAGTTTTCCTTGTATAGCTCATCTTCCATCACTATCCACTTTCCGAGAATAATTGTGTAAACTAAGAAAGGGAATTTGGGGTAAAGAAAGAAGGCAACATTTGCTTTAGATCTACAGTGAAATCCTGGCTCTATTGATGTCAAATGCAAAACTCCCATTGACTTCAGTAGGGACCGGGTTTCACTACGTATCATAACTTCTAAGAGTATATGGAATGTTAATCTTATTAAAATACAGGAATAACTCTCTCAAAGAATGGGTCTGAGGATACGCTCTGCAACACCTGTTCCAGTGCTACCAGATGGTATGGTGATACGTGGGCACATAAGAAATTACATAGCTAGACAGACACTAAGGCTAAAACAGGAAGCTAGAGACCTTCAGTATTTGCAAACGTGCTGCACTATCCATGGCTTTTTATATTAAGATGTTTAAAATTAATCAAGATAATGGAAAGCAGATTTGACATAAGTTTGCAAGGCAATATGGCAGCATAAAATGTCCCTGCAATTTACAGAGATGTCATATCCCAGAGTAAGGTTGTCATACGGGAGTTGGGATGCACCGGGCATATTACTTTTGTTTGGATGCTTCATTGTAAGAAGAAGAGTGACACCCTTGGTTCCAATTATTAATGTTTTACAAATGAGTTGACTGCCTCAATAACTTGCATGTTGATTAGGAGAACTTTAGCTCTTATCAGCTAGAAGAAATACCTATAATTATTGTAAAAATGCCAGAGTGAGGTTTGGTTTAATGTAGAAGAAGCTAAATTACTTGTTTGTATTTTTGAACATTGTTAAAAGTTAGGAATAAAACATACTTATTCTCTGAATGAGAACTAAAACCAAAATCGGTAAAGATTAACAAACAGGAAGGTATTCAAAGAACAGAATTAAGTGATCAGAAGAATTGATATTTAAGGAAAGACTTTAAAAAAATAGAAGTATTGAAAGCATCAATGACCTGATCCTGTTCTGACTGAAATGAATGGCTGAATTCCCATAGAAATCAACAGGAACACAATCAGGTCACGCAGAAGAAAATAAGTTATTTGGTTGCTATTAGGAGTAAGGGATTCACTGGAGGTAGGACAAGAACTAATTGGCTTAATCCACAGCAAGGGAGATTTAGGTTAGATAGTAGGAAAACCTTCTAACTAGAAGGATAGTTAAGCTCTGGAATAGGCTTCCAAGGAAGGTTGTGCAATTCTTATCATTGGAGAGTATTAAGAACAGGTTAGACAATGATAGAGACATTATTTTACAGAAATCACTTTAAGCACTGGGGGTCCTAAGGATTTTTACCTCTTTATTCTGTTGAACCGCAGTTTTTTTCTTGACTCTCCCCTTTTGAGATTGATGATCACAGCACCCTTCCTTTTGGTCACATATTCCTTTTTCACAGGAAGTAGCTTGGGAGGAGCAGAAGTGTGGCATAAGATTCATAAAACGGAAGCATAGTAAATTGATACTACGCAGACAGTTTTGTGTGGAAACCATGTTGTAGCAAACTACAGAGAGCACGGCTGAGAAAACTCTTTTGCAAGCTCCACAATTTATGGCTATCTTGTTGGGATGATGAATAGCACTCAGCTCTTATGCATGTGCCTGGACATGTTATAGCATGCTAGGACATTGGAAACTATGTAACAAGCATTTCCAGGCAACTTACCCAGGCCACATATCAAAACCATTTTAAAATTCCTCCCAAATCCTCTCTCAGGTTAAATATATATCACTAAGATGCACATGGCTACAAACTACAAGATACATGGTAATTTGGGTTTCTCTCTCATTTACCCCCATGCATCGGCAGATCATAAGTGCTGTTGTTTTGCTTTTGAGGGGCATTGGGATGATACCAATATTTTGTTGTAATTTGGTGTGGCGCCATGCCATGCCATGTATCAGATATTGTAGTATGTGGATTAGCTTTGAGATTTCTGAGGCTGAGTTGTAGCAGCTGCCTATGCTTTCCTTTACTCTGTGCAGCATACACCCATGGAAGCATATGGGGTTTTTAAAGCTGCTTATCATCATTTCATGAGGTCAAGTTTTTGCTGCTTATGATTTCATTTTATGTACATTAGAACCTTAGAGTTACAAACACCAAAGTTACGAACTGACCAGTCAACCACATACCTCATTTGGAACAGGAAGTACACAGTCAGGCAGCAGAAATGACAAAAAAAAAAAGAGCCAATACAGTACAGTACTGTGTCAAACATAAGCTATTAAAAAGCGGGGGCAGGGAGTTTAACAAAATTTGACAAGCTAAGGAAATTGTTTCTGTACTTATTTCATTTAAATTAAGATGGTTAAAAGCAGCATTTTTCTTCTGCATAGTAAAGTTTCAAAGCTGTATTAAGTTAATGACTTCAGTTGTAAACTTTTGAAAGAACAACCATAATGTTTTGTTCAGAGTTATGAACAACTCCCATTACTGAGGTGTTCGGAACTCTGAACTTCTACTGTAGTGAGCAGCTACCACATGTACCCTCAGAAAGAACATACCAAAGAGTAACTTTGTCTTTTGAGCAGCAATATTTGTTACAGCGTATTGACAGGAGGTGATGCTTGTTTCCATTCTGTCTGGTTCCTCTCATACTCTCATCTATTGGCAGGTCAGCAGCAAAGTATAAGTTTTAAGAATTCCTATGTCTGTAATGCTCTGACTCCTCCCAGACCTCTGTTCCAGTGCAGTATTTGTGGATTTCCTGATTCCAAGTATAGAGAGACACCGAGAACCAGATTTTCAGTCTAGGCACACAATTAAATGCCCAAAGTGTGTGTACAGTTTCAGGCCTAATTTGCACACACAGTTATTCAAATTGCCTATGAAAATTGGATAATTTTGTACACAGATGGCTACTTGAGTGTGATTACCTGATTAATATGCACAGTGACACTTGTATATGCAATGTGCATAAACAGTTGCATACCTAATCTCTTTGGAAAAATCTGGTTGGAGAGAGGTCACAGAAAGAGAGGCATTACAAAATGAAGAATAAATACAAGGATGATAGGAGAGAGATCCCCAATATGTGATATTGTTGAGGCAATATGAAATCATTCACTAACTTCATGAGTTAAGTCTATTTTTTCCTCCTTAAAATAGATCTCTCAATCTGTGCTTTCCATTAATGGCTATATTTTACCTTGGACATATAGATATTTGAGATGGGGGCACACAACAGTGAATTCTCTGCTAGTATACTCACTTCACATTGCTATTTACATCTCTGGGTTAATTCTAGAGTGCCACTGAACTGTGGGGATACCGATCTTGGGAGCCCACACTACAAGAAGTACTGCTCATTGGGATCATCATTCGATACAAAACTTTTTGCATGCTATCAGTTAAAGAATAAAGAAATACTCTGGGGAAAGGATTTTTGGTTTTATCTGTCTTTTATGTTAACAGCAAGTGGTGTCATCTGAGCATAGCACTGGGAGGAAGAAACTCCTGAGTTGTAATTGTGGTTCTCACATAATCTTCTGTGGCTTTAGGGAAGGCACTTAACCTTTTTGCCTCAGCTTCTCAGTTGTTAAAAATGGGGATCATACCTACAACACAGGTATGCTATGAGAATAAATTGGTAGGACTTGATTATGAATGGACTAAAATTTCTGATTCTAATACTCTTCACCTCTCAGAATCATGTCCACCTCTCCATTTGTACAGTGCTAGGTAACTGAGAAGTATTAAGTAGTATACTATGACTGTAAAGAATACCTAACTCTGATATAGTGCTTTCCATCACTAGATCTCAAAAGTACTTCACAATGTTAAATATATTTGTTCTTACAAAATCTGTGAGGCTATATATAATTTGTTTTATTTTAGACTTATAATGTGAACTGACGTACTATAGTAATACACCCTGTAGAGGAGCAGACCCACCCCTGCGGCGCCTCCTGCTGGTCATCCAGGGAATTAGCTCACCAGCCTCTGGAGCGCCCTCTGCAGGCCAGTGATCCGCCTTGTCCTCTGGCACCCATGTCCCTCCCAGGACCCAGTGCCCCTATTACTGGGATGCTGCCCCCCCAGCAGTACCCCACAGATCTGGCTCTCCCCTCCCTGGGGAAACCCCACCCACTATCCCCACCTTGCCTCAGCACTAGGCCACTGCCAGTCACCAACTAGCCCCCACTCCCTGGGGAAGACTGCAGTATAGGCCACTCATCACTGGCAAGGGTGGTTTGGACCTGCTGCCTTGGACTAGCCCTGGGCTGCCCTCTGCAACCCCCAGTACCCCTTAGCCTTCCACTAGGCCACAGCCTGGCACTATCCAGGCTGGAGCTCCCCAGCTCCTCAGCCTTTCCCCAGCTCTGCTCCACTACAGGTACCCAGTCTAGCTCCCTGCAGCCAAGTCCTTCTCCCTCTGAAAGTAGAGAGAGACTGCTGAGCTCCTGGCTCCCAGCCTTTTTATACAGGCCAGCAGAAGCCTGATTGGGGCGTGGCCCAGCTGTGGCTACTTCCCCAATCAGCCCAGTAGCTTTTCCCTTTGCCCCAGCCCTCTGCCAGGGCTGTTTTAAACCCCTCAGGCAGGAGCAGGGTAACCACCCCGCTACACACCCCTTTCAGTATTGCCTACAATACACAGTGAACCGGTTTATCATTCCAATGCAGTCTTGCGGGCTCCTCAGCTTCTCTCCCCGACACCAACTAACTCACTTTCTTAATATAACTTTACCTTTGCTGCAGTAGCTGTGCTGTTCAAACAATACATGACAAAATTAGATTATATTGTATAAGGGCTTTGATTTATGGGGGAAAAAGTGACTTTTTTTTTAACTGATTTTTAAACTTGTCTTTTGAGTTGGGCATTGCAGAGGCAGATCTAACAGAAGGTAGAGTTGTGAAATGCAAGGAATTGTAGGGGTGATATATAGGTATATAGCCTGCACACACACAAAAAATCCACCCGAGGCCAGGGAATCTCCAGTGTTTGCTCAGAGAAGAGATCACCACATGTCCA